AGCTTCTCAAACTCTACCCAAAAACTTAAAATGCAAAAACAAACAAAAAAATAAAAAAAAAAAAAAAAAAAATTCCCAACTTAAAAAAAAAAAAAAAGAAGCGGTTACTAAAATGAGCTTGTGTCCCAGTTGTCTGAAATTACAAACCTCACTGTTTTCTAAGACACTAAACAGGTTTCGTTTTATGTTATTTGCTCTTTTTTTGGCCCGCCCTTCCATAAGCGCAGACACCACCACCAAGGCCTTGCACACACCTTTGCAGTGAACGGCGATGGCCCCTTCGGTGTTCTCACAGATGTTCAGGAACCTTCGCACGATGTTGTCACTGGGTGTGCTGCCATCTATGAAGAAGAGGTCATAGTGCTCGAAGCCAGCGTCTGTGAAGCGTTTTGCTTCATAAATCTTTTTGTTCAGCCTCACGACTGCAGTCACATTATGCTTTTTGAAATAAGGAAAGTAGGCTTCAGGGGCGTGAAGAGGATAACCTAAAGGAAGAAAGGAGCAGTAAGCAAAAGGCATGCATTACATCTTCCATAGCACAGAAATACAAAACCCTCAACAATGAAGTATATACATCTCAACAAAGCTTGTGGGGAAAGCGTGTTGCGTGAGAGAAAAGGTCATGGCAGGCTCCCAAAAGCATCAGGCTGCGTAACTGTAAGCACCATAGGAGGTTAAAAAGAAAACTTCTTGAAGTACCGAAGTACGACATTCAAGTTCAAGCTCCCAACTTCTAGGATTCGAATCCTAGGAGCACACTCTTCCCACTCCCAAAACAAAGGCATTCTTGAAGTACTCAAATGTGCACAGAAGACCTAGAATCGTTCTTGGTGACTTTATTCTCCCTTGAGCGTTATTCTCCATTTGACAAATATTTTTCAACTACAGTTAAAGCTTTTTTGCCGTATGTATAGTTTTAATTTGTAGTACAATGCCCTGCAAAAGCAATTATTATTAAGCATCTACTCTGTACAAGTCACAATTGCATATCATTTCAAATTCTCAAAACCATCTCTTAAGAATGCCTAACATAGAAAAATAAAAATAAATAAATAAATAAGAAAAAGAAAAAAAAAAAACACATACACACACACACACAAAAGAATGCCTAATTCCATTTACCAGATTAAGAAACTAAAAGAGGGTGTTTTGGGGAGATACTGGTCAAAGAAAACAAAATTTCAGTTAGAAAGGAGTACGTCCCAGAGATCTATTGTACAACATGGTGACCATAATAACAATATATTATATACTTGAAAGTCATTTAGAAAGCAGAATTTAAGTCTTCTCACCACAAAGAAATGATAAATTTGTGAATACATAAGTAAAACTTGACTTAGCCATTCTACAATGTATACATATTTCAAAACACGCTGTACACCATATATAATCTTTATTTATCAGTTAAAATATAAATATTTTTAAGTTAAAAATGAAACTAAAAAACTAACTTTCGTGGACATTTCCTTTTTTTGAGGGAGGAGGATGCTCTTGTCTTTAAACCCCCTTTGGTTTTTGAGTGGCTCCAGCATCGTGTGAGTGTTCCTGGGAGCCATACGGTGAGCTGCGTTACAGACCTAGCCTTGGCCAATCAGCCAAGGCAACCAGTGGGGGCTTTGACCTTCGCAGGCCTTGCTTGGCTGCTCCAAGGGTTAAAGGGACTAATTTCCCAGCCCACTAATGGCCACATCTGTAACCCATTCAGGATTCACTGATCCCTGACATACCAGCTGAGTGAAATGATCTCATTTGGAATCCATTCATGACGGTCGGTTCCAGGGGTGGCAGCAGCCAGCAAAGTGAACCAGACTGTTTCTGCGCCATGTCCTTGGCTGCATTTCCCACAGCCTTGGATCCCTGTTATGCTAGTCAGCTCTCAGCTCCAAGCCAACTCTCTTATGCTCTGTCACAGTGGGACTGGGGTCCATATACTTCCTACATTTCCCAGACTACCTTTCTGTCTGGCTTCCTATTGGTTGTAAAAATGGGAGGCACTGAAGGGCAACCTGAGAGGAGGAAGGAACAACTTCCTGTGCTCCTGGCAACATCAATTCAGCAGCAGAAAACAGGAGCAGCCAGAACCCCCAGCTTACTTTGGCTCTCATGCCACCATCCTGCCACACTCACCTCTGAGGCTGGAGCCCTCATGGTCTCCACTCTTCAACCCCCGAATCCAAACACCAGCTTGTGGCATCCCCATTAGAGGTCAGAGCACCAGCATGTGGCTCCTCCTCAGAGCTCCCAGGTTCTGCTAACTCCACTTTTGTCCCTTTCGTCCCCCCAGCCTTAAAGGTACTAGCTGTTTTGTCCAACATATTCTGGTTTCTTCCGTGTTGCCTTTTTACTTTCTAGTCTTTTTTGAAACAAATTCCTTGTATTAAATTCTCTCTGTTTGAAATGCCTCGTGTGGTTCCCATTTTCCCACTTGGGTCCTGTTCACCTTTTAGGCCTAGTTCTCCAGCCTTCTCTTAAAGTCTATAAGCTACCCAACATATTCTGAAAACTGCCTTTTACCAGAGTTGGTTCTGCTGCCTGAAACCAACAGCCCTAACTGGTACACTTGGCCAGGGACACACAAAGGATGAAGGCAGAATTGAAAGGCAGGCCCGATTAATCCACAGTTCAGATATGTGATTTTGCGGACCATGTCACTTTTGAGCAAACAGGTAATACAGAGCTTATTGAAAATCTTCTGTGTAGAAACAATAACTTGAGAAAACATGCTTTTCTAACTGCAAAAATCAAGTCTGTTTCCCTAGTTGGTTTACTTGCTCAAATTATTTCCCTGAAACAGATTTATAGCCTAAAGCAAAAACTAACTGTAGCTGGCATTAAGAAATAACGGTTTTTCTATCATGTGAGGTATGGGAGGGAGAAGGGTTCACAAACACATGGGAAGCCTGCCCTGGGTGTGGCGGGATGGTGAGAGCTTCTGTCCCCGGGTTGCTAGCATACCTGGGACCTCTATGACAGTACCTGTCACACATTGTGTTAGCAATTGTTTCAGTGCCTTTCCTCTTCCTCCCTGCAACAAAGGCTGCAAGAATCTCTTTTCATATATGAATTTCCATCAGGAGTAAATGGCAGCATAGCTAATTTGCCTAAATAGACTATTAAGAGAAACGATGTATATTTTTTGAGAAAAAAACACTGGACAGAAATTGTCCAAATATGGCAACAGGGAACTGAAATAACAAGAACAATAACTGCACCTAACATATATGAAGCACTAACTATGTGCTAGCCGCTATGCTAAGTGCTTTATGTGGATTATCTCATTAAAACTTGCAATTACTCAATTTCTGGTGCCTGGAAAAGCTAACTGGCCCACACACATACAAATAGTAAGAGGCAGAGCCAGTATTTCAATCCTGGCAGTCAAATTCCAATACCTGTGCTGGGACTAACTTCAGATAAGATTCAACTTGATTCTGTTAAGACTCCAAATAAGAGAACATGATATGAACATGAGGTGTTAGAGTTGGTGAGCAGGTTTTACAAAAATCCTTAAAACTGTTTAGAATAAATTATAATGAACAATGGAAATGTCCTATGACCTGTGAACAACAGTTTGTGGCTGTCACAGATGTAGGTGGATGCTTTTTGTGAGAGACTGATTTTAGCAATGTGTATAATGTGCAGACCCAGAGCTGACGGAGCCTTCATCCGACCCTTACTCCCTCTGGCCACAAGATGGTATGCTGGCATCACTGAACTGCAACACAGTCCGGGAGTTGAGCTGACCAAACACATGAACAGGCTATCGGAGTCAAAAGAGATTTTAAAATTCATCTCTTCCCAGGCCCTCATTTTAATGTTGGAAAACTGAAGAATAGCAGAGTTGAATGACTAGCCCCCTCAGTCATTACTAAAAGCAAAAACTGCAAAATGAGCAGTCAAATGCAGAAAAGACATAAAATCTGTTGATTAGGCTAGCTAATGACAAAAATGTAACCATAATACCTGCTGTCTTATAAACGCCTATTATGTGTGCCTGATTCTGTGCAAGGCACTTCATATAACATCTCTAATCCTCACTAGGTGCCTGCAATGAGCATCATAGTTCTCTTACTGTGAAATACAAGAAAACTGATGCTCAGAGAAGCTGTGGAACTCAATGAAGTTCACACAGCCAATAAGAAATGGAGCCAGGCTTCAACCTGCCCAGGCTCTTTACTAAATAGGACACTGGGCTTCTCTCATTAAATGAGCAGGCTGATGCCTCCAGTTGTTGGGATTCTCAGTCTAAAGCTATCTTTCTGTGTGTGCGTGTTTAAATAGAAATGACAGTGACAAGAGACATTTTTTACAGAAAATCTGAAATCCAAAATATCTGTTTCATTCTGCTATTATCCATCATTTATCAATTCAAAATTGTTTAACAAAAAAAAAAAAGTAGGGCTCTTCTCTTCCCCACTGTCAAAACAATGTGAATCAAAATGGCTAAAAGAAACTCCTAGTGTTCCCTGTTGACACACACACTTAAGATTCTTAGAATACATTCTGCCCAGATCCCAAGATTTTACAGCTTCCTTTAGCTGCCTCCTAGCAACAGCTATTTGATCATTTCTTTAAAGCCTCAGCTCTTCTACTAAATAGCCCCTAAAATGACTTTCTGCCTCCTCAGAAAAACACAGGCTTCTCAAGGCAAAAAAAAAAAAAAGTTATCACGATGTCACTGTAATTGGATCAGGTTTATTAAGTCCATCAGAAAATTATTTTCTCAACTTCAAAAAGTATTTACAAAGTTAAAGCCCTTTACAAAAAAAAAAAAAAAATATATATATATATATATATACACATATATATAGTGAAGCTTCTAGTGAATATCAGATCTTAAAATGAAAATTCCAGTAAAATAGCAATATTTTACCAATGGTAGCCCTAAATGAAATTGTTCTAGGCATCATAAAAGCTGACAATGGTGAGAAAACTGTACTTTCAGATGTTTTTATGTCAATAAGAGAGGACAGAATATATGCATAGAATAAAATATGCATATAGAGCAATACCTTAAAGTGATTATCTCTTGATTATATAATGTTTTTAGAGAGTTTTACTCTTTATATTGCTTAAATTTTCTAGATTGAGCATGTACATCCTCTATGATAACATTTAAAAGAACACAGAATTCAGAATTAACTAGACAAATGTTCGAATCCACATACCAACCACTACTGGCCTATGAACCTGGACAAGTTAGGTAATTCCTATAGGCCTCCAGCTTCTCTTCCATAAAATAAACACCACCTGCTTCAGGGGGTGGTTCTGATCATGAAACAGATGATGTGTGTACAAGAGGTTTAGCACCGTTCCAGGCAGGTAAGCAAATGGTGGCTACAATTTTTCCCCATATTGAATATGGGACCAAAAAGATGTTTTTAATTTTTTTGATATTTAAAAATTATTATACAAAATATGCATATTCTTTTATCTAATGACTCTAACAATTTAGAGAAGAAACTAAAGCTGCAAAAAGATGTATGAATATGTATGCCAACCACAGCAGTTTTTAAAAAGTGAAAAACTCTTCATCTGATTAAATAGATGGTGAAATGAAAAAAGAATAAGTGAAAAACAACTTAGATCTCATTCAAAAATAAATTAACAGGCTGGGCTCAGTGGCTTAAACCTATAATCCTAGTGCTTTGTGAGGCAAGAGGATCGCATGAGGCCAGGAGTTCAAGACCAGCCTGGGCAACATAAAGAGACCTCATCTCTATTAAAAATTAAAAAAAAAAAAAAAAATCAGCCAGGTGTGGTGGAGCATGCCCTGTACTCCCAGGTACTCTGGAGGCTGAGGGAGGAGGATCACTTGAGGACAGGAGTTCAAGGTTGCAATGAGCTATGATCACACCATTGCACTCCAGTTTGGGCAACAAAGCAAGAGCCTGTCTCTAAAAAAACAAAACCAAAAATAAATTAACACAATATGGTACAGTCATATGGTAGAATAATATGCAATGCAGTCGTGGAAAATAATAACATGGATCTATATTTACCGCTACAGAAAGAAGTCTATGATATGTTAAGTGAAGAAATCTGGCTATAAGATTGTAATTATGTTACGATCCTACTTTTGCTTAAAAAATTTTTTTAATGCACGTATGCATAGAATATACAGTGTTCTATATATGTAAAAACATTTTAAATGGCTTTTAAAATTACACCTCTCAATTTCTCATTAAGAAAATGCAGTCAAACATATGAATCACAAATGTGAAAGTCTTTCAACTTTGCCAAACAAATACCCAACAACAAAACTACAACTGAAAAAATATTCCTCCTAACATTTCCCGGGCCTGAGTCAGATAATTTTGCACAGAAAGCAGATTTAGTCAATCTTATTTTGAAAGGCCAAATGTCAGAAAGCAGCTTCCTCAGGTTATCAACATGTAATTCCTAACAACCCAAAATGACAGAGGTTAATTATTGAATGTCCAGACCAGAGAATATTCTTTAGCAAGCTTATAAGTGAGAAGATCAAATTCTGGCTTCACCATAGAGGTGTCCTGTTAGTGAGCTTAACTCTCTAGACCTGGACTGCCCATCCGCACAGTTAAACCATGATTCATGATTCAAGCAGAGTTCCCTATTAGATAAGTCACAGGTGTAAAATGATAAGCATATTTATGAAAGCTCAAATTATAAAAATTAAATGCATGAATAACAACAATATACAATGAAACTACATTTTATGAAATGGTGATTAAAGAAAAAAAAAAATTTTAAGAGACAGGGTTTTGCTATGTTGCCCAGGCTGGTCTTAAACTCCTGGCCTCAAGCAATCCTCCCACCTCAGCCTTCCAAAGTGCTGGGATTGCAGGCACATGCCACCATGCCTAACTGAAGAATAAATCTAGACCAGAGGTTTCAAGTTGGGTTCCCTCAGAACACTGGTATTCCACCTCTATGATCAGATAAAGAGCCAAAAAAAAAAAAAAAAGCTATTCTGTTCATGGTTATTTTTCAACCACTGTTGTTTTAATTACTTGTCTTCTAGGGAATGTTAGTAGATAGAAAAAATTTGTAAGTACAAAAGTACAAAGTAAGTATTAATGGGAAAACTTGCACAGCTGATCATGTTTCATTCAAAAGGTTTATTTTTTGTTTTGCTTTTATTTTTTTCCTAAATATGTATGCCCAAGGCAATAAATATGCTGCAAATAAGTAGTTTAATTACTGTCAGCTAGAAAATTGTACCTAGTTGTCAAAACGGAACTAAGTATATCAGTGCAGTGGCAATGTTAAGGAGCCCTCCTCTGATTTGGAGTACCAGTTCTGCCTATTACTTTGTGACCCTGGGCAAATTCCCTACTAATAAGGCTCAATTTACTCCTCTCTAAAATGGAGATAACAATATCTGTATCTCATAGAGTTGTGTTGAGTGTTAAAAGAGATAATGCTTTGATTTGTGTAACTAGCACCTACGTATTCAATAAACGACACATTGTCTTCATCATCATTATTCAACACGCTGTTACCCAAAGAATACCTCAATGTGTAGCACTCTACCAACAAATAAATCTGAGAACCACTGAAAGAAACAGCAATCTGCTTATGGGTTTGACCAGTTTGTTTCTCAGATTCTTCTCTAATAATTGGGGGTCAGGTAAAGTGAACATCTGATTTACGGCAAGCTAAAAATTTGTTAGTTCTAAAACAGTGATTATAGCTCCGCCTACTGGAAGTACAATGTTTAACACACTAGCTACTGGTGTTTAATTTTTAAAATTATGAATAAATATTCTTTGGAGAATACTATCAAAGAAAATAATTATCTGAGGAAGTTAAGAAACTCAGAAAGGCGAATCAAAATAAATGTTTGGATGGCAAAGGAAAGAAAAACCTACCATTTTCAATTTTGCTTTTAGGATGTGGTCCACTAAATGCTAAAAATTTTCCTGGAACAATCCAGTTGAAGTCACCATTTTCAACTCGCTGGCAGAATTTTGTGAGAAAAGAGAAGAAAAACATTTTATAATTCTTATACAATTTAGGATACCCTTACAAATAAAACTGCTTTTCACTCTTACTACTAGACTAATTAGACATATATGTAGGCAAATGCGGCTTAAAATAAAAACATGCACCTGATTCTCAAAATGCTATTTAGGTATTCACTTTACAAAAACTTGTGTCTAGACCACATGAAACATTTAGAAACTTTCATTTACAATAGAGGTATTTTGCATAAAATGTTTGTCTCCTGGCCACTGTGCAAAGAAATGAAATGAAAACAAACATCGTTTGTCCTGGCAATAAATAAAGGAAAATAAGAGAAAATGGGAAATATGAACACTTTCCATAAATGTAGTAAACCTATTTTAAACAATGAAAAAAAATCTGCAAATATCAAGCTCACGATGAATACACTTCCAATTTTTTTTCCTGTTTTTATAGGGCTGATATCTCTTTTGAATGGCAATTTTTAGATGGGGAAATGGCAAGAGGCAGGAGGGAGGGATATTGGCTCATCTGTTCCACAAACCAGAGTCAGCCAAACTGTGCTGTAGGGGATAAAAAGAGTCAGGCAAGTGACATACAGAGGCAGGGGCTCCTCTAGAGTCAGGTGCTCCTCCACTCTAGCTAATGAGGCACCTTGCAGGAAAGCCGACTAAATACAGCTGATCTTCCAACTGAACTTCCATGTGAAATCTGTTTTTAACATGTTGACTTTTAAAATTAAGTCATTAACTCCTATGAAACCAAATAAAGCATGCCCGTTGGCTGACGTGAGGACCAGTTATCAGCCTCTAGTCTATACACGCTAAGATATCCTCAGAAAAGGCTTAAAGACCAAGAAAGGGGCCAAGCACCTTCCCATGGCTCCATCATCTTCCCCATTTTCTTCCCTTCCCCATGTGCCTCTGAACCATGGGACACTGGGGCACAAGTAAAGTTACCCAAAATTTTGCAGACATTGGGAGGCATAAGTGCAATGCATCATAAAATATATCTATCTCCTCTTAACTTATGCTGTCTTTACTCCCCCCACCCACTCCTACCCTTGCCCTCCTCATCTCCATTCTCAGGAAAGGGAAGCAATGTAGTTCTCTGCACTGGTCCATCCACTACTTATCCATATAAAAAGCTTTCTTCCCCCATTATATGGCAAGGACCGCAATAGTACAAAACTGAGCCAAATATAGAGTCTGTACTCTACCATAAGAACACAATAAATATTTGTTAAATAAATTGGAACATGGCCTTTAAAAAAAACTGGAGCCACTACTTTAATTACTTACATTACCCATTATCATTTCCGTGAAAATCAAAACTTGGCTATAAAACAAAATTGTCGTTTTTAAAATGCAGATATTTCTTCCCAGTTATAAAAAGTTATATGTAAAACTGTGCATCACATTTATAAACATCTGAACTGCATTTAATCTAGTTGTAATAAACGTAATATCTCCAAAATGCTCTAAGTAAAATCTAAGAGACCCTGAGTGTTATGAATGCACACATGAAGTTAAACCTCAAGCATAGCTTCTATTTATAACGACTTAAATAAAGAATCTAATTATGGCAATTAAACGTTTGCTAGTTTAAATAAAAGTCTCAAATTGATGATCCAATATCCCTCAAGTAATTATTAATCTTAAAACAGTATTTGAAAATTCAAGAATAAAAGTACTCTCTAATCATCAAGAGACTAAAACCAATTCTTTATGAACAGTAAAAGAAAACAGGTTTCTATGGTCACTATTTCTGTATCCCTGACCACCAACCAAGTATGCTAGATAAATACACTGTGCTATATCTGCTTATTTGGAGTACAGAAATCCATTTGGTTAAACAGCAACCTTTTATAATTAATCATATGGAGAGAGGCAAGGGGCTTCCTAAGATACATTCATTCATTCACAGAACCAAAAGAATATGTGTGCAAATCTTCCTACCCAAAAAGATAAACAGTAGATAATATTCAGCACCCAGGTTAAGGTTGATGGAATAAAATTAATAAGAATAATAAAAATGGAAAAAAATTAATAAGAAAGTTACAGTTTTTAATTGACCTAATATAAGCTCACCTTGGTAGTCTTCCAAAGTTAATATTTGTGCCTTTGTTCATAGTGAATCATACAAATGTCAATGTTTATCCATAATAAAATACTTTTTATGACACAAATCGGTTTTTCTAATTAAACACACACATACACTTCAAAGAAATCTAGATCAGATAGGAACTTAAGGTACTTTCCAACCCTACCACATTTTGTAAACAAATATCTAAGCAAGGATGAGGCAAGAGTATGATTTCACCACTTCTCACCTAAAGCCTACTACCTACCAAATACTATGAAAAAAAAACCAGAGATGTTCTTCACTATAAGAAAAACCCAAAATAAAAAATCTGAATTCCTGAAACTGACACATTTAGGTGTTGTTATTCACTGTGGCATAGGATTCTCCAGTCTACAGAAGATTCACAGCTTTCTTTTGAATAGCTCACTCTCTTAGTGCATTCAAAATATAATTTGACTAAAAGACATAAATTTTTACAATTTCTTTTTTTTTTTTTTTTCTTGGAGACAGAGTCTCGCTCTGTCACCCTGGCTGGAGTGCCATGGTGCAATCTCAGCTCACTGCAACCTCCACCTCATGGGTTCAGGCGATTCTCCTGCTTTAGCATACCGAGTAGCTGGGATTACAGGCACACGACACCATGCTCGAGTAATTTTTTTGTATTTTTAGTAGAGACGGGGTTTCACTATGTTGGCCAGGCTGGTCTCGAACTCCTGATCGCATAATCCACCCACCTCAGCCTCCCAAAGTGCTGGGATTACAAGCATGAACCACCACGCCTGGCCAGCTTTTACAATTTCTAAGAAATACATCTGTGATTCTATAGTAATGGTCACAGATATATTTTTCAGTCCAAACACTGAAAACTATTTGACCTTTTTACTACTATAATAAACCTACAGTAAGATAGAAAAGATAGTCTTTGAGGTTGACAATTACAAGATTGATTTCCTTTATCAACAGATGTGTTTTCTAGGAAAACAGGGAAAAGCAGTTTTGAAATGCAATTCAACATTCATTTAAACATTTGCTGAGCCTTTATTATATATGAAGGACTGTAAATTGGTATCATACATAAAATAATAAAAATAATTCTCTGTGCTTTTATGGAGTCTGAAGGCAAGTGGGAATGACAAATAACAGTAACAAAAATGGCAGCAAATACATGGATACCACTGACTCTGTGTCAAGCTCTGCTGTATTCTATATAACTTACCTCATACTCATAGTAACCCTATGAGGTAGGTGTTATTCTCATCTCTGTTTTATCCATTAAAGAAAAAGTCACATTAAACTTTAAAAGTGTGATACTAGAAGTACATAAGAAGAATGGCAGTGGCACAAGGACTGTTTTGAAATTTAGTAAGGTATAACCACAATGCCTTTTTCAAATTCATTTAAAAATGCCTTCTTTGTATTTCCCTAACTTCTAAAACAACAAAATAGTGTTGACAGTATAGTTGTATCACATAAACACAACTATGCTGTAACAACGGGCACTTTATGAGCTTAAAGCAAAGTAAATATTTGAATCACTTGGCTTAAATTAAGTTGGCATGCCATCTGGCTTTAAATAACAAACTCTAGATTATTAATTTAGACTTGCTTTTGAGGGGGACGGTGCGGTGGAGGGAAAGAGGAGTGTCCCATGTGGATGACTGCTTCGCCTCTGCTAGCATCAGCTGCAGCAGGGAGACAGCAGGGTTGGAAAACATGTAGGGACCCATTCCAACAGTCCCTATCAGTGAACACCTCTGCTGATAAAACAGGATGAGGCAAAAATCCAGTGCACATTTGCAGATGCCACTCCAATGCTCAAGATGCAAAGATGATTTGGAGTCAGCAGCACATACATAGTTGCTGAAACTTGGAACTAGATGCACTCAATCATACAAAGTGTGTATAACCAGAAATCATGAGGGTCTAGAGAACCCCAGCATATCAGGGCGGGCAAAGGAAGAGAAAGGGCTTGCGAGGGAGGCTGAGAAAGATGATTAGCCATGGAGGGAGGAGAAATCCAAAAGACAGCACATTACAAATTAGGGAAGGAATGTGAAGTAGAGAGCGACCACAGAATAAACCAAGTAGGAAGAACAAGCATAGCAACTTGGCTTTTACAAACCCATGTTAGCAGGAACAGTTTCAGTAGAGGCCAGCCCATAATTAGTTAGAGACTCCTCTCTTAAGAAGTTTGGAGATAAAAGAAGGAAAAGATACCAAACAATTATTAAAGGGGAAGAAAAAAAAGCCATGGGGAATTGTTTAGGACAGGGTAGCTCTCAAAACATTTTATAGATTTAAGCAACATGACCTTTGAACCAGCACTGGGTATAACAAATACAGAAGCACTGGGTCCCCTCACTTTTGCAGTTGCAATGGCCAGGAAGTAATTTTGCTTCCTTAAACTTGAGGCTTTAGAGTGGTATAATCAACACCACCAGATGGTCACAGGAGAATGCTTCTTCTAATAGTTCTTCTATTCAAATCACCATGGGAGGCGCACTTCCATAACTGCTCCAGGTGGTGAGGACATGCCCACATACTTGCATTCTGGGCACTGCTTGACCTTGTCCTATGGCAGTCCCATATTTCCAGTTCTACAATCCACCAACATGTAGAGAAGGCAGACCAAGCAGCATCCAGATTACATTTTGGTTTGCTATACAAATTCTAATCCAAAGCAAAGTCCTGAAGCATCATAATTTCAGTGTTCAACCACACTGACTCCTGTTGTTGACCTGATGTGACTTGTTGAGACGTGAGGCCTAACAAACTTTACTGTTTCTCAAGGCAGGTGATAAAAAGCCATTGTTAGGACTCTATACCACCTGGTCAATCTGACAATTTACTTACACAGTGAAGGGTAACAGAGTCAACCTGGATAGTCCCTAGTCACGTATTAAACTAAA